GCATGGAGGAGTAGACCAGATTCTTCAGAGCAAGACACCTATCAACATTGAAGACCTGGTGACTCCAGAACACAGTGGTAGGCCAGTCAGGTTCATTCTGGTAGAAGGTCCTCCAGGAATTGGTAAGAGTACCTTTGCCTGGGAGGCATGCAGGAGATGGGATAAAAGCCTCAGAAACTACCACACTGTGGTGCTGCTCAGTTGAGGGAAAAGTGGGTCTTAAATGCAGCATCACTTCCTGATCTCTTTAGATACCGTTTAAACAAGAATTCAGTGAGAATATTGCTCAAGAACTGCATGACTCCCAGGGGTGTAATCTTTTACTTGTTTTAGATGGTTTGACGAAGTCTCTCACAGTTTCCATAAGGACTCTGTCATTAAAAGCATTCTATGCAGGCAACTCTTGCCAGAATGTACCATCATTCTCACTACTAGACCAGTGGCGAAGTCCACACTAGAAAGTATCTGCCAGCCTATAGTTGATAAGCATGTAGAAATTATTGGGTTCACAGAGGAAGAGAGAGTGAGGTATATCACTGAGGTCTTTAGCAAGGAACCAGAGCTTCAGGCTAATTTCTTGAAGTACATGTTTCTTGTCCCTCACATAAAGTCAATGATGTACATTCCACTCAACTGTGCCATTATAGCACAAGTCTATTACGAGTCTCAGAGTAGCCGCCACCTCGCTAAACCAAGAACAAGAACACAACTGTACAATGCACTCACTCATTCTCTTCTCGTTAGACACATGAAGATGAAGGAAAGCAACTATGAGTATACTACATCCATGCTTCCTGAATGTCTTAACAAAGAAGATATAGACAAGTTTAAGGTTTTGGCTAAATTTGCTTTTGACAGCTATCACAAAGTTAGGTCAAGAAAGGTAACGTTCTTCAAAGAGGATATCCCTGAGGGATTAGTTCATTTTGGGTTCATGAATGAATCCACTGAAATGTATGCTGGCAAAGGAGTGGAGCGAACATTCTCATTTCTCCACCTCAGCCTACAGGAATACCTGGCAGCTTGGCACCTGGCTAATAGCTACAGCATTGAGTTTCAGATGGCTTATCATAGGCTGGCTGTAGAGGCTAAGGTAGACGACGATAGTTATGAATGTGAAGACGAAGATAGTTATGAATGTGAAGACGAATATAGTTATGAATTTGAAGACGAAGAACTTCTACCAACACTATGGTACGAAGATTCATCACTATATTATTACAAAGGTGATAGCATTGACGAAGCAATTCTCATATCGTCACTAAAGGAACAGAGTTCATCACTAGAGGAGCCAGCCATATTCCTGGCTGGTATCACTGGTTGGATATGCCAGTCAGAGGATGACAGGAACCACTGGGAAATGTATCTCAGTCATGACACTGCACATATTACGAATTCCTGTGTGTTGTTACGCTCTCTCTATGAGGCTCAAAACCCAACCATCTTACCATTATATTATTGTTATGCTAGCGATTCTAGGAGAAGAATTTCCATTGGCTCAAATGTATATACCTTTGAAAAAGATTCTAAAACACCATATGACTGCTATGCAGTATCTTTCTGTCTAGCAAATTCCTCAGATCAACATTGTTTTCATCTATCTTTTTGCTTCAATTTCAATGAGGATATTTCACTTGTGGAAACGTTTGTCCAGGGTCTTAATGACCACTGCAAGTCTACCACACCTAGAGTTAATCGCCTTGAAATCAAAGGATCATCACATGGTCCTCTGGTAGACAGAGGATTACTTTGGTTAATGAAAGCCAAGTTTTTGAATATTGATGAATGTCATTTACACCCCACCATTGTAAACAGCTCTTTTGCTAATCAATTTTTACACACACTTCCCAAACTTCAATCACTCACAATCTGTCCAAGTGCAGTCTTTGAATATGTATCCGATATTGCTATCACATCTTGGGAGTGGCTTGCTGCAATACAGTCTCTCAGTAAACTCAAACAGTTGCACATTACTGGCAGAAGCGAATGCAGTTTTCCACCACCTAATATTATTGTAGAGAGGGATAATGAGCTGAGAGAAGTTGTACTTGATGTCATCCTTCCTACCAATACAATATATGATCTTCACAGTCCAGCAGATGTACTGGTTGACTCTGTATTGAAATATACTCTGAAATCAAATCAAATTACTGAAATGGTATTGGCCCACATATCTCGTGGGACCATGGCTGGTGTCCGTAGCATCTTACTACACTGTCCCAGTCTTACCACATTGGAGCTGAAGAGAACCAGACTGGGCTATGATGGAATCATCTACATATGTAGTGCACTTAGAAATAATACGATGTTAAGACATCTTACGATTCATCAAGATCTTCAATTGCCACCATTCAAGAATATAAGGAACATCGGTGAGATCTCTTCTTTCTCATCCATGAAGAGAGCTCCTCTGCCAAGTAGGACTACCTGCACTGACTTCCTTCTGGAACTAAACGACATTCTCAAGGACAACACTACTCTGGAAGAGATGAACATCCAGACTGGATTATTCCTCCCTCTCTCTGCTGGTGAAGAAGAGATGGAGTATTATCAGTGGACAGGACTTGGACCTCTTCAACAGTTCAATGTGGGGGCTGTCCGTAGTGGCATGTCTCCTAATCTCAGGAGATCATTCTCATCTTCAGACCTCACTCAGCCACAGACCCAACTCTTTTGGGACAAATATTTCAGTAGGTATTATATGCCAAAAGCAGCAGTTGTTGATTTCAAGAAACTATTTTCCAAGATGAAGGAGGAGGGAAAGAAGTTATTCTCTCTTCCCTCATTCACTGCTCCAGACACTGCAGTTCTACAGTCATTCTCTGCTCTAGACCCTCGTCTCAAGGAATGTCTGGAGATATCTCATCTCCATCAGTATGTGGAAAGGACTGGTAAGAGATATTAATTTTGCTGTTAGGCCCTACATTGAGTGTCTATGGACACTGATACTATTTAGTTTTAGTAGAAAGCTGAAGTCAGCAGGATATTTTTGTTATCACATTTCTCTCTTAACTGAATCCATACATATTCCTTAAATGTACGATTATCAATGTATATCTTATCACAGCCCAACTGAAACATTCAATTTCGGTGGGGTCTCCAATGTCTGACTCAGTCTTCAGCACAAAGAGCAGACAGCTGGCACCCCCATTGTCCATTCCCGAGACAGAGGAATCTGTGATCTATGTAGGAAAGGCATGTTCCTTCACTAGTCAAACCGGTATTAGTCTCCATTTTCCAGCTGCCAAGTGTCCAAAACCAGTCAAAGTGTCGGTCAAGGTTGTCAGTGGTGACTATACCCTGCCACCAGAGTATGAGGGTATGCCACTAGTCAGCTCAATGTTCAAAATCACGGCAAGTGGTACACTTCCTGCTCCTATTAGTGTAAGACTAGAGCACTGTGCTGTTGTCGACAGAGAAGATTCTCTGGTACATATGGTGGCAGAGGACACTCACCCTTACTACTTTAAACAATTGCCTGGTGGAAAAGTTTCCAATTGGGGGATCATATGGTGAAATTAAGTTGGAAAAATTCAGCACTTTTACAACCATATGCAGGATTTTCGGTTTATACATAAATTTGTCAGTTTTTTTGTTTTATCACAAGGACAGCACTGCAACGTTTGTTGCAACTAAAAATCTAAGAGAGTTGAATGAAGCAGTCACAGAGAAATTCTGTGATGCTGTTGAAAAGTTAGAGCTTTCAATGATGTATTACTGCTATACAACTCGTGCAATAACTCTTACCATACCACCTGCTAAGGATGGTGGATGGAGTATCGAACCAAAGAGTAAGCCTCCGAAAATTGAAACTGAATGTATTCAAAATTATGAGAGAGGAATGATACCTCCAAGCATCCAGCTCAAAATGAATTGGACTGGTAGAGGGCCTCCTGAAGATGAAGATATTGAAATAAAATTAGGCGGGTGTTCAGTTGAATCCTTTACATTATCCTGCATGTCTCCATATAAAAGACAGTCACAGTCACTGACGCAGCAGTCACCTGCTAACTCCGAGGCAGAAAACTCAACTGAGTGGATAAACCCTTGTGCAGAGCTTGCTCTTCAGAGAAGCAATGAGATATTTGTTAGGGCCGTAGACCCAGAGAATATTGTACCAGTGCTCTATAGCAAAAGGCTGCTTACCAAAGAGGAAAATCAGAAGGCAGCACAACAGACCTCTACCGCTTCCCAGAGACTTAAAGAAATTTTTGAAGCAATGGAGAGGCGGGTTCATGTCGACCCTCAATGTTATCACACTCTCTTACAGGCTCTCAGTGAAGAATCAGCAACTAAAGGTGTCGCTAAACAAATGAAAGGTAAACCTACATCTTTTTCTATAATGGTACAACATTTTACCTGTACCTCTAGAGGGTAAACCATTATCAGTCGTGTTTTTTTGTAGACTTCTATGATGATGAATGCAGAAGACAGAACATAAGCTGAATGTAGGTTTAGTAAGTGCCAATTAGTGTATGATTGCGAATGCTAAGAGCAGCCATCACGTTTCATGTTCAGATTTCACTTTTCACGTTTCGTGTTCACTTTTCACAATTATTTTACGATGCACATTGCTTTTCCATCCTAGATATTCCTATACTCGGTTCACGTTTATGTGTTTTCACACACTCACTTGCCCTTCTGTTCGTTCTACTTGACACATGCTCTGGAGTGAGCCGAGCCACCCCAGTCCCCCATTTCCTAGGATAGTACTATGATGTAGCCAATGGGGGTCTGTTGTCTATATGTAGCAGTTATAATTATTTGTATATACATCTCTGTTTAGTCTTCTCAGTCTTTTTCTGGCAGAATGCTGTTTGTGTGCGTGCATGTGTGGTCCGCCTATTTCGGGTGGGGAATGGTAAGTAGCTGGAATGTGAAAAAAAATCTTGGATAGAAAATTAAACAAGTGCCATCTGAATTTTATAATTTTTTCAGGACTTTCACAGCATATTTTAAACTTGTTATGGAAAGCACACAGACACATGTCACTATGAAATAATATAGAGTCTGACTATAGCTGTGTGTGGTAAGTGTTCTGCAGAGTCATGTGGAGCTTGTGGGCAGTCTTGAGGGGAGCCCCTAGCATGATTGCCTGAGGCCCCACCCCAGTGACCTCCTCTGTACTCCAGTGGAGTAGTTGGGAGACTGGGAGACCGAGGTGGTGAGAGAGAGACGGGAATGATGGCCGACATGACTTGTCTGGGTGCCTGGGTGCAGAGAGGGTAGTGTAGGGCAGGGAGAGATAGAGAAACATGGAGTAATGAGGAAAAGGAGAAGGTAGAGGAAGGGATGGAGTGTAAAGGGGAAAGGAATGGAATGGAGGCAGAGCAAACAAGTCGACTACACCCAGGACAGTTTTTCTTTTTCGGAAAAAGAAAATTTGCCCTGGGTCGGATTCGACGTAAGAACGACATAGCAACAAGCTATTAGGTTTCTTAGATTTTCTCCTGTGTTCTTATAATACAAGTGGAAAAATCATTTCTTCAAAATGAAAGGGGGATATAGGGATGGCTTGAAGCACCAAAAAGGAAGAAACAAGGGGTCATTACACAGCAAAGTTGCACAAAGCTACATGACACCATCCCTATATATTTGTTTTATTGTTTATAAGCAAAGTTTCCCCTGAGCTAAGTATACATGCAAGAAAACCTCTATTGTAACAACAAAGATATAGGGATGGTGTCATGTAGTTTTGTGCAACTTTGCTGTGTAATGACCCCTTGTTTCTTCCTTTTTGGTGCTTCAAGCCATCCCTATATCCCCCTTTCATTTTGAAGAAATGATTTTTCCACTTGTTTCCACTATTTTTAACAGCTTATGACAACACTGCATTTATATTGTTACAGTCACTCTGATGTAGCTATGTTGTATATAGGTTACCATAGACAAATTGTAACTGTTGAAAGTAGTAGCTAATGGGGCTGCTAGTGCCTGAAGCAGGGGCTAGATACCGTATTCACCTCATGTATTGTCTTCAACAAGGATGAACTTAGATTATTGCATGGTTGTGGTTTCATTGGCAGGCTTTGGTAATCAGGCAGGCTTTGGTAATCAGGCAAACAATGAAGGCCCATTTGACTGAGCGCCCCGCAGGCAAACAATGAAGGCCCATTTGACTGAGCGCCCCGCAGGCAAACAATGAAGGCCCATTTGACTGAGCGCCCCGCAAGGCTCGCGTAACACCGCGCAGACTCTGGCAAGTTGCTCTTCGTGCAAATCAACAGCCAGTTGGAAATGTGCACACTTACTTACAGAAGGTACTGGAGGCTGAGAGTTCCTCTGCAGGTCTGCCAACTCGCTCGCCTGGTAATACGCTCGCTAGCGCATTGGACAACGCCCATGCCTTGCGCATGCGCGCGGATCACTGATGCTGAGTAAGCAGCAAATGGCGTTATTCAGGTCGACCATGGAAGAGCTCCATGATCTACCCTAGTGACTAGCAGAAAGAAAGAAACGATCGCTTGATGTCCGTGCACACTTCCGGCGAAATTGAAGACCTTCGGTGAAAAAATCAGTGCTTGAACTGGTACTGGTAAGGAGATAGCGGGTTTAAAGAAGAAGAAGAAGAATATGATGACACAAAAATCGTGAAAAAGCGTATGAGCGAATTCTCGCCTGGACGACTGAAGGTGCGTATGAGCTCTTGGGGGGACATGTATAGGTAGATATGGGCCCGTAAACTATTGCTAGTATGCTTTGAAGGCCTAGGGAGTGATTCTCACTGAGTTTTTAGTCGTTTTGTACGCGGATCACGTGAGATTTCACCCGCGTCATCCCTATATAGAGAGTCTACCGACTCTCTAATAAGCATGCATGACTCCAAAAAGATATCAGATGCAGTAGGAAGAGGATAGGCTCTAGCTCCACTAACCAGCACTGGACCATGAGAGAGTAGATCTCATGAGGTGTACCGGGAGGAGGAGGGAGACAGAATGACCTCTCCAGTAGACTCACCGTCTGTGTTTCACGACAGAAACAAAAAGAAACAGTAAAAGGAAACAGAGTGTTGCACAAAGCACAGAGCAGTGTCCATAATGACAAAGCTAGAAGTTTGCCACTAAGTGTTTGCCTTAGAGTGCTAGTTACTAATATCGATGATAGACAGACTTAACTGAGCATTAGTGAAGTCAGAGAAGGGTTTCTGTCCAAGGCTCCATATCTCATACATGACCATCCCATAGCTCCACACGTCACTGCCTGTCGAGTACTTCTTGTAGTGGATTGCCTGCAGGGAGAAACGACTGTTCTTATTGATTATTGATCGTTACCTCAGGGGCAGTCCACTTGATGGGGATCTTGCCTCCTTTAGACATGTAGTACGTCTCCTCTTCCAGTCCGCGAGACATGGCAAAATCACTGATCTGAAGAAGGAAAATGTGTATTTAGGGGTGGATATGTACTGTGGTTTGTGCATAAACAGATGTGCATATTATGGTGCCAACATACAAAGTGCAATGTAGCATATATAGTGTGAGACAGAATTCTCATGCAACTTCAATGTATATATAGGTATGATATCCAATGGTGCTTTATAATGCACACAGGTATTGTGTGGACCCATGTCATCATACACTGACATTTTATAGCCTTATTCAAAACTGAAGATCACCACGAAAACACCCCTTATGTACCTGATCCTTCATACATACAGTAGCTATAGCTACGTATGAAGGGAGGTGTCACCTTGCAGGTGAGGTCATGTGACATGAGAATGTTCCTGGCAGCCAGGTCTCGGTGCACAAATGACTTGTCAGCCAGGTAGCTCATCCCTGCAGCCACGTCTTGACAGAACTTGAGCAACCGCCGAGACAGATCATCCCGCTGTACCAATGACGAACCTCTGTATGTTCAGTTTTTGATGGATAGAAAGAGAAACAAGAGAGGTCAATTTGGCACCAAATACGACAGAAAATGTTTCTAGGTTTTAAAGACTTTTATATATACCATGGGAATAAGATTCTGCACAATTCCAGGGGCAGATTTAACCTACTTATCATACTTAAATAAAAACTTCATATATAGAAATTTCTAACTATACCGTACTAATAGCTCGGAAGACTCGAAAATTCTTACTTTGTTCTCAGCTTGACCAGATGGTTCCTAAGATCTCCATTGCTCATCAACTCCAACACTATCATCACCTTCGTATAATAGAGAGGATAATATTATAGAAGAGGTTTATTACAGGGATTTACTCACTGGTTGATCAATGGTGACCACACCAATGAGCTTCACAACATTGGGATGTCTAAATTGTCCGTTGATGGCGGCCTCTTGCAGAAACCTGATCTTGTCGCTCTCAGTGCTGCCTGGTTTGAGAGTCTTGACTGCCACATCCACCGGTCCTCTCGGGGAACTCCACACCCCCTGGACCACTGTCCCAAACTGACCTGATCCCAAATGCTGACGAAGACTGGAAGAGAAAACCTTTATCTGGTTGTGAACCTTTTCAACGATAACTCAAGATAGACAGCCGCGGGGGAAGCTACAAGAACCAACTTGAAATTCATACTTCAACCATCTTAACCAAGCAATCAAGCAAAGCCTAATACCAAGCAAACAAATCAACATATCTGATCAGAAGTTCCAAAGTCCTACTTCCACTTTGCTAGCCAATTAAAACTCATATCTACCTTTGTGACTGTGTTTCCTCTACAAATATCTAACAAGTATTGTCTTACGTCTTACCTGGCGTGTTTCCTGGAGAGCTCTCTGTATTTCCTAGTGCTGAGCTGTTTGTAGAGGGCCTGGGTACTGTCAGCAGGTGTCCAGTAGGTAGGCTCCTCTGGAAGAAGGCTGGAGCTCCACTCCCACTGCTACTGACTGTGCTACTAGTGGTGCTGATATGGTCATCATACACATGATCCTGTAGGGATTTGGAGCTCTGTAGGTGTGTGTCTGTAGCCTACAGAGCTCCAACTCCCTACAGGGTCATGTGTATGATGACCATATGAGCACCACTAGTAGCAGAGTCAGTAGCAGTGGGAGTGGAGCTCCAGCCTTCTTCCAGGAGGACTGGACTGTAGGTGTGTGTGTGTGCGTGTGCGTGTGCGTGCGTGCGTACGTGCGTGCGTGCGTGTGTGGCTATATAGTCGCTATGAATGTAGATGTTTCGTTTGTCGCCTCTGTGCGTGCGTGTGACTAGTGGCTATGAATGACGATGTTCCACATTCATGAGCCCCACCCCACGATTGTCGCCTCCTACACCTCGCGCGCGGGATACGCCCATTTCTCTGCACCAGCTCAGAAAGGTTTGACGCATTTTTAGATCTGACTGGTTGATTGTGTGAGTGACGACTATATTATTGTACCAATCTTTTTTGGCCTTATCTGGAAATACTGTTAGCTATTACAGGCAGTATCTGCACGCGGCGCGGCGTACGAAAAAGGGGGCGTGCCTGCTCCTCACCATGGCCACTAAAGGGAGCTGGTCCAACCAGGCCTTTACTGATAATGACTTGAGTGACATAATGAATGAGCTTCATTCACTTGTTGACAAGTATAAGCTTTTTGGCGTACAGCTCGGGGTAAAGTTGAGTGACATAGAGATAATAGAAGCAGATTGCAGTAAATCCAGTGACCGTTTGCTTGAAGTAATTTCTCTTCGTTTGAAAAAAGATCAAGCCCTTACGTGGGAAGGTATATACAGTGCTCTTAGTCCCCAAGTGTGGGCGAGAGTCAGATAGCAAAGGGCATATGTACAAAGTATGGTCGCCTAACAAGTGAATCTGAGAAACTGTCAGAAAAACCACAAAATAAATCATTTACCAGTGAAACTCTGCTAAAAGGACTCAACAAAAAGTTGAAATAGTTAAGAAGCGTTCAGAACCAGAAAAAGAAAAAGCCGCATATGAAGCAAGAAGTGGAAGTAAAGTCCAACTAAAAGGTAGGGAACGAAGTAGTCAAGTACACAAAGAATTATCAGAACAAAGAGAACAAAAAGAAGTGCCAATAGAGTCTTAAAGTGAATCTTCTGCTGCATCAAGTAGTGAAGAGGAAGTAGACAAATCTGAAACACATTCAGAAGATTCCTCAGAACAAGAGCAAATTTCAGATGAGGAGGTAAGGGCAAAAGAATACCAGAAAACCTCAGAGCAAACCACTGGAGATGAATATGCCTCTGAGAGTGAAACTGAAGTGAAAAGAAAAACAACAAAAACCAAAGGGTCTCAAAGTGAATATGGAAAGCAAAAAAGGGAACAGAAATGTATGGCAAGTGATACTGGTAACCGACACAAGAGAAGCGAAAGAGATGCTCAAAAACGGAGGCAAAAAATTTCAAAAAAGAGTGAAATTCAATCGTCTTCAATATGCGGTGAAGATGAAATGGTAAGTTACAGAGGAAAAGCTGGCAAGTCACAAACAGCAAAAGAAATGCATAGCAAGGAAGCTGGTTGTCAAAAAAGAAAAGCTACGGCTGTAAGAGCTCATGTAGCAGAAGAGCAGTATTCAGAAGAGGAACGTCATACCCATAAAGTAAGAAATAAGCAAGAGCGTCAGGAGACTAAAATAAATATTTCCTCTGGGGAAAGGCAATCGAGAATGAGTACAGAAGCGGAAAGTGAGAAAGCCCGTACAGAAAGTAGAGTAAATGAGGATTCTAATGATCCAGAATCTGAGGAAGAATATGTAGAAAAAAGAACAGGTGAATCTGAATCTGTCAGGTACTCACAGAAGCAGTACAAAAATAAAGAAAAAGGGCAGAAATCAGCTCCACTAAAAGGTAAGGTGTCACGTGATCGATCAGAAATTATTGTAAAGAAGCAGCGCAAAGCATCACAACTAAGACACCCAGATACGTCTGCAGAGGGTGCAGAAGATAGTGATGAGGGGGAACAAGATTCTGATCCAGAGGTAAGCGAAAAGACTAAGCCTCATAAACCCCAATTGGAATCTGACGATGAGTCTTCTTCTGCCAGTACCAGTGAAGAGAGAAGTGAAGTCACAAGTCACGACTATGTTACAAAAGAAAAATACAATCAGAAAAGGCCCAAAGTCAATCCTGAGAAAGAAAAACAAGAATCCCAGAAAGTAAAGCACGCCTTGGGGGGGAAAATCAGTTCAATGAAAGAGCATTTTTCCATCTCATCCTCTGATAAGCAGTCTATAAGTGGTAAGAGTGCAAAGAAAAGAAAATACATGGACAATGAAGATCGTTCATATTTAAGGGGCACAAAGCGTCCAAAAATATACTCAGTAACTACCGAGTCTCCCCCTAACAGAGAACGAATTGAGATGGTAAAGAGAAAAAGAAAAATGAAAACCAAATCCAAAGGTCAGGGGAACAGAAAGCTCAATGAAGTGACAAATAAAGCAAGCAAAGGAAAGTACCTGAGAGTAGATTCAGGCTCAAGAAAAGAAACACATAAACTGGTAAACGAACCAAGAGAAATGAAAGTATCATCAGAAAGGAAACAAGTAGCCACACCATCTTCATGCACCACTCAGGAAAACTCTGAAGAAGAAGAATGGGATTCAGATGATAAGAGTGAGGATGAAGAAGACAGAGACTCAGAACAAAGCTCATCAAATGAAGAGGAGGGAACGGAACCTGGTGACGGGTCTTCTTCTGCCACCAGTGAAGAGGAAGTGAAGAAAAGAGCAAGTGGAATATCAGGAGAAAGTAAGAGGGAATACTCTACCACAGAAGGAAAAGGTATCACAAGAAAAAGAAAGCAAAAAGAAGCTAATGAATCAGATACTGGTTGTGGGGGTGGGGACGAAGGGCCAAAAAAAAAGGTGGAATAAAAAAGCACAGGGAGAGGAGTAATAGCCCCACAGCCAGAGGTAGCTCACAAGAGGACAGTCTAGAACAACCAGGCTTCAAGGGGAAGAGAAAGCTAAAGGGAAAAGGGAAAGGGGTTAGGATTAGTAAAAAGGGAGAAAGTTCAAGTTCCACTGAGACAGATGGCTCTTCACCTGAATGCCATTACAACATCTCTGAGACTGAAAGTAAGGGTCTTAGAAATATTTTCAAGCGGTTCTTTGGCAGACTCTGCTTTACAATGAAAGAGCCAGTTGAACTAGCAACACATCTTCCGATAAAGAATCTCGTACCATACTCATTAATGAATGAGCTATGACATCTCCTGAATCACAGCAGGCAAAGGCTATATCTTTAGTTGGAAATCTTCAGAAACAAATAAAGTCACGTCCGCAATTATTCAGTATAGTTGAGGTGTTTCTGCAGAATGAGCCCTAAAAGAACCGGCAAGGAAATTTGGCAGGAAATAGGTAACTACACTGTTTTACTGTTTCTGCTCTATATATCATGCTTTATTACATCTGTAGGAAAGATTTTCCCTGAGAAGACAGCCTTGTGGTTGGTGAACAATTTCCCTCAGATAGCCTTGTGGAATTTCTGGTTAGTTACTATGATTATCCCTATATCATTAATTCATATGTACTTTTACAGGGAAAGGAAGTGAGACAATAATATTACAGTAGTAAGTGGCACACCTTTACCCTGCAAAACCAAGTGGTACATATTCATCTGAGGACAGTAAGTCAGTCAGTACCACACTCAGGTTAAGTCAGTGTTTGGCAAAGTATAAGCGGTACCTGCAGTCTTGTTACAATGCTAGAGTCTTAGCTCAAGAGACAAGTACCTCCAACCCTAGATGTTCTTACATATCTTGCCATGATAGAAGGGAACGCTACGATCATGAGGAGGAAAGAGGTTGAGTTTACCAGAAGAACACTGCATGGGGGAGTAGACACAGATTCTTGAAAACAAATCACCATTAAAATTGAAGATTGTTGGCCTTTGAAGGCACAGTAGAACATTGTAGGCAGGGTAGAGCAGATGAAAGCATGGTGCCTTCATGGAAACTGACTCCTTATGCTGTCTGAAATCTCTTAAGGTCCTAGGGAGTCGAAAGTAGTAGTCGAGGCACCCAGAAGATAAGAAGCGAGTCGGCAGGTTCATTCTGGTAGAGGTCCTCCAGGAATGGGAAGAGTACCTTTGCCTGGGAGGCATGTAGGAGATGGGATGAGATAGAAAGCCTCAAAGACTACCACACTGTGGTGCTGCTCAAAGGTTGAGGGAAAAGTGGGTCTTAAATGCAGCATCACTCTCAGATCTTTGAGATATCCATCTCACCTGAATTCAGTAATAGAATAGCTGAAGAACTGGTTAAATTACAAGGGGAAAAGCTGCTATTTGTTTTAGATGGTTTTGACGAAGTCTCTCACAGTTTCCATGAGAACTCTGTCATAAAAAGCATTCTATGCAGGCAACTCTTGCCAGAATGTACCATCATTCTCACTACTAGACCTGTGGCCAAATCCACGCTAGAAAGTATCTGCCAGCCTATAGTTGATAAGCATGTAGAAATTATTGGGTTCACAGAGGAAGAGAGAGTGAGGTATATCACTAAGGTCTTTAGCAAGGAACCAGAGCTTCAGGTGAATTTCTTGAAGTACATGTTTCATGTCCTCACATAAAGTCAATGATGTACATTCCACCCAACTGTGCCATTATAGCACAAGTCTATTACGAGTTCAGAGTAGCCGCCACCTCGCTATACCAAGAACAAGAACACAGCTGTACAAGGCACTCACTCATTCTCTTCTTGTCAGACACATGAAGATGAAGGAAAGTCGTTATGAGTATACATCCATGCTTCCTGAAGGTTTAAACAAAGAATATATGGACAAGTTTAACATTTTGGCTAAATTTGCTTTTGACAGCTATCACAAAGGTTGGTCAAGAAAGTATGTTCTCAAAGAGGATATACCTGAGGGATTAGTTCATTTTGGGTTCATGAATGAATCCACTGAAATGTATGCTGGCAAAGGAAGTGGAGCGAACATTCTCATTTCTCACCTCAGCCTACAGGCAATACCTGGCAGCTTGGCACCTGGCTAGTAGCTACAGCATTGAGTTTCAGGTGGCTTATCATATGATGGCTGTAGAACCTAACCAACCTTTTTCATATAATGAAGCAAATTATTACGAAGGTAATAACCAAGAGGAAGAAGCTCTCTTATCATCACTGAGCCAACAGAGGTCGTCACTAGAGGAGCCAGCCATATTCCTGGCTGGTATCACTGGCTGGAGATGCCAGTCAGAGGATGACAGGAACCACTGGGAAATGTATCTC